ATTTTAGAATTTTGCTAGTTCGGGATTTCATGTCTGTGTCGATTTGGTTCTAGATTTCTTATTGTGTATAATTAATTTTTAGCAGCATATTGTACAGAAATAATATTGGAATATTTTTGTTTTTAAAAAAATTTTCTAATACTGTAATATATATATATATATGTGTGTGTAATGAAAAAGCAAATGAATGCAAACTGATAATTATTGATGGCATAGAATGTAGAATGTTGAACCCGTAATAAACAGCATACTGGCAAACGAGGCAGATTAAATCTTCATTTTTATTTCAGTAAATATTTTGTGGCCACAAACAACTCAGCACACTAGTTGTGCTTATTTCAAAATGGTTACATTTTTTGATAGATTTACAATAAGAAGAAAGCAATAGTCGGTAGTCCAGCTAGAAGTGTGGACAGCAAGTGTGTTGTGTTCAAGAGGAAATCTCAATTCAGACTGAGTTAGTTTGGGTTCTTAATGCATTTCGATTGTATTATTAATACTGCTGTAAAATTATTATTGGCTGTTTTAGTTCCATTTACATCACCAACGTTATGCAAGATGTGGATTAGACTCGAAATGATGCAGTGCAAAAAGAGAGTACTATTTTTAGAATAAAGAAGCATAAGCTTCAAAGAGCTATTGCTAATTTATTTTATAATTTATCTTTTACATATTTTTTTTAGTTTTCTTTCATATTTCTATTCTCCCCTTTTAATACAAATTTCATGAATATATAAAAGAAAATTTCGGTTTTATATTGATAGCAACAGTTTTCACAAGTCTTTCAAACAAGTCTTTTAAGACAACTATTGTAAAATGTTAAATAAATGTGTTTATGATTATGATAAAGCAAATATCTTCCAGAACTGTGAACTTTTCCAGTTTTCTCCCCTTGAAAAATGTTACGACACTCTTTACAATATTTTTACACAAAAATGAACGTGCAGACTTTCAAAATTTCAGTAGAATTTTCAATTAGCATTGATTGTTAAAAATCATATCTACAAGATGTTATTATTTTAAAAAATTATAGATCAAAATTTAATGGGCCCCCTCCCAAAAGAATTGTTAATTCCCTTGTTTTTGCTAATGCTTTAATGTTTTCAGTTAATCTTCGGATTATGGTAACTTGGCGATTTTGGGGGGAAAATTTGCAACCAACCCTGCTACAGCAACCCGCTAGTTTTGTTTTGGACGCCATTTTGTTTACACGAAGTAAAGGCATGTTTTTTTTTTTTTTTTTTTTTTTTTTTTACTCAACATTTTTTCCAACAATCTACTAGCTGAATTACGCTTATGCTAGAACTTTTATGGAACAAAAGTGCTTAGAAGATTAGGTGCGAAATTGGGAGAAAGTGCAGAATCGCCCACTGCTTGCCGCGTTTTTAAGAATTGCACATACTCGGTATCATCCATGTATACGTCGACCTATTTTCACTTAAAAAAAATCCCAGAATTGCACAAAAATAGCATTGCGCACACTCTTGACTTTATCCATGTACACTGCTAAAGTCCTACTAGTAACTTTTATCGCCCTACCAAAATGTTGCCTAACTACCTGCTACCATATTCCAAAGATTAGCCATGTTTTCTTCAAAAAAATTTTTTTTATCTTTGAAGGAGGGATATGCAACTCTGAATTATACTTTAAATTAATTATATCCCTTTTATTCCTCTTTTTAGTCTGTGCCCTTCCTCCTCTCTGTTCTAAAAATAGTAATAATTTTTTAAAAAACTGTGTCATATCTGAAAACTAATTCATCATAATGCCATCTTAACCTTCTGCATTGCATCTGGTTCTTAGCCAGTCATATTAATGAAAAATCTTACTGTAATACCGTGGTAATCCAACTACACATTCTCTTTCTTTCTCTATGCTTGCTAGCTAAAGGTCTTGCTTGGTTTTTCTATTAAAAATGTAGTGCATCATGATCAAAATTGTGGGCTGCAAATTGACCCCATTGTGAAGTGCCATGAAAGTAATTAACAGGGAATAAAGATATGTTTGGATTATCAAGTAATTCTGAAGTTCTTCAAAGCCTCCCGCCATCATCTACTATGTAATCAAAATTTTAAAGATTCCACTCGCAGCTGCAGAATAATTGAAGTCTTCACTAGTCGAGCACTCATCTAATATCAAATTAACTGCAACGAACTAAATTATTTCATCACCTATATATGTTACCATATTTGCAGAACAAGAGTATACATAATAAGTGTACTGTTTATTGATGCAATATTATAATGTATAATCTACTTAATCCCCAATTAAATTAAATTTATTACTCTAATTATTTGTATCCAGTTCTCCCTCAAAATTTTTCTGCTGATGCCCATGTCATTTATGAAAAATTAATTTCAGTGATTAGAAAACCTTTTACGTGTATATTATACTAGCCTGTATGCTAAATGAAAGTTAGTATGGAGAAATAAAAGGAAATTATACAGCACTAACAACAAAATATTCAAGATATTGAAAAACAGACCGCATAATTTTTACAGCATTTATACTCTGAAGTTGATATAGTCTGTCTCGTTCGGATTCATGTTGGTGTTCCACTTGTACATATACAGTCAAAAGTCTTTAATCCGGAATGATCTATAATCCGGACCTCAAAGCTACAAACTTTCTGTGCATGCGTCAACGCATGCACATAATACCTTAAGCCTTTAACTGTCAAGTTATTTTGATGATTTGGGTACACAAATTGTCAAATTTTTTTATTGCAAAAACCAAATGTTTAGTACAAAATAAAATATACTTAAGTAGTTAAAAATTGATATTTGGACTACATGGGTAAAATTTTAAAGTTTTGTAGCCACTGCATATTTTCTTTGAGGCAGCTGTCACTCCACATGGCTTGCAAAGTTCTCTTCTAGTGGAGCATTATTTTCTAAAAATAAAATAATTAACTATTTTCTAAAACATAAATAAATATAAGTGAATACCTATTATAGTTCATAATCAGTCTTATGTGATACAACTGGAAACACTTTTCCAGCACAAACCAACTCCACCATCACTACACAAAGGATTCCTCCTTATGTTTTCCCCTTTTTATCCTTTTTCAAATAATACACTTTGCACTGTCTTGTAGGCTCATGTTTGCAGGAATAGGAGGAAAATGGGATATAAATGCGTTCAGTAAGACGGGCAGGGTTATCTATTTAGGTGGTCTGCCAACATTCTTTTGTCCAGAAGCTGCATCATCTATTTATGTAAACTCTTCTACAACTTGGATTCGAAATTCTAAAAATGTATACTTTCCAACTACATTTTTATAGAGCAAATATAGTTCCAGAGTACCTTGTCTAGTAAATAAATATCTTTTTATGATATTTTATTATTATAAAAGGATAATTCTATCCTTTTATAATTTATTAATTTTTATATATTTTACTAATGTTCTCGATTGTTGGATGAAAGGATATTTCCTGATCACAGCGATCTACACCACCCATAGTTACTGTAGTCAGAAATAATCTTCGACTTGAGTATATCTTCATTTTTCTTATTTTTGAGGCTGACCATGGAAGTATCATGAATACTGCTCATCAAACACACATCCTTCATCTTCGGTTAAAGAATCTAAATCATCTATATAATGTTTCAAAGAACTGGACGTTATTTTACAACAAAAGATCCCATGCACTTTGAACCAAATAACCTCTAACCCTTGAATCTTCAGTAAGTGCTGTCATCTATTGAACTGAGCGCACATTAACTTTTCCCGAGATACAGTCGGGTTTGACAAAGAGATGAAGCCGAAATAAACGTCTCCCGATATATATTTGGGTATAACAATACGATGCACTCAAAAAAAAAAATTACCCCGAGTAATACTCGAGCATGACATTTTTTATCTCGGGCTAAAAGGTTAAGGCATGCACATATGCATGTCTATGCATGTGCATAATACGTTTATGCATGCACGTTTAATGTATAATGGACGGTATAAGCTAAGCTAAAATTATCTAATTATCTATTTCAGTTAATGTTGCAGATTGTGTTGTTCCTTAATCTTCTAATTGGATCCGGCTTATTATTTTTTGGAGACTGTTAGAGCAATATTATAAAAGTAAGCTTGAACTTTCGATTATGTCTAAAAGAATTTCTGATTTTGGAGCTACCAAAGGATCTACAAAGTGAAAGCATGTTTCAGTGTCCATCAAACAAAAAGTGGAATAGCTGCAAAAAATGGATAAAGGCATATCCTTTGATCCTCTAATCATTCCGAAATATATTTATCAATTTCACGCTGCTCTGCGGGGGGTGGGGACGACGCGGCGCGTAATGAACTGGAAGTTGATCTGTCAGCACTATCCTTATCTTCAGGGCAGATGCTTTTATTTTATTTGGCTTATAATTCTTTACTAAATGTAGTATTTCATCTCGATGTACTCTGTCTTTGATATGATTTAAATCAAATTCCTCATCATTATAAATATCACGAATACACGTGAAATAGTTTTCTGGTTGCAATTTTCTAATTTCGACTATGCGTAATGTATGCTTTACGCATGCGCACATTGAAAAAAATGTTTAATAAAATAAACAAATAAATATAAAGCTTATTTTTTTAAATTTTGATACCCTTTAGATCATAATTGCTCTTTATTTCATAAATTATGGTTTCATATTTTTAATTTTATAATTTCTGCATGCCATCTTACCAGATTTAAACTGATGATCTATAATCCGGAATCGCCGAAGTTCCCGACGAGTCCGGATTAAAGACTTTTGACTGTATTTCATTATCTAATATTTTTCTTTTGAAACTCTTTATTGGATTTCATATTATCATGTAATTCAGTACCTGGATATTTGGAATCACTTTTAAGACTAAGTAATCTTTTAGTGTTGAGACTGGTAATCAATTTCTAAAGCTTTCAAATATGTAATTATTAAGAACCTGATTATTTATTATGTTGTTCAGTGTCTGTGAATTGCATTTTTTTAAAATATTTGGTATTTTTAATTTTTTTTTTTTTTTTTTCAGATAAGTAATAAACTCAGCAGAAAAATAAAGGAATATGTTTCAGTTGTTGAAAAAAACAAACAGTATATAGAAAGTGTTTTCAGTGCACAGAAGTTCCTTTTTGACCTTACAAATTCTGCTTGCTGCCATATCAACCCTGAATTATTAAGGTAAGTTTTCATTTGCTTTTGGAAAGGTACAAGTCCAAAAGGTACAAGTACAGTCAAAGCTGCCATAAAATATTTCAATGAACTAAAAGTTTGATTCTGATAAACAAAAAACGGATTAACTTATAAAATAGTGTAAAAATAAACTAATAAGTAACAAAAAAACTTATTAATATTGTCATTTATCAGAAAGTGAATAATAAAGCTAATTTAAAAAATAATAATATTAAGATTTAATTACAGTAATTACCATGTCCAGTCAGCCCACCAGCAGCCGAGCGGTAAAGTCGCTGAACACTGGTAGTTCGGTCTGAGGTTCGAATCCCGCGAACGGACTGGCAGCATGGGTGTTTCAGTGGTTTTCCTAATGTGTAACATGTATACGAGCTAGTTCCCTTAGAAAGTCCTCCATGAAGGCATCAGATAGCCCTAGTGTGCTTTGCCGTAATCTCAATAAACCAAACCATGTCCAGTCCTTAAATTTGCTGTGTGTTCTCTAATTTCACTGGACATTAATAATTTTACATGATTAATTAATTAGCATATGTGTCATGGTTCTAATCCCTCCCTTGAAAATATGTCTTTCTCTAAAGTATGTGTTTATAATTATGAATAATTATTTTATCTATAATAATATAAAAAACTAAAAATCAGTAACAAAAAATTGTGAATTTATCTTTAACATAACTTTTGAGTAAAAAATAATCTGCAATTTTCTGCTGGTATGCTGTAGGAAAATTTTTTTTTCCAAAAATTGAGAAGACATCATCACTTTTACTTCAGCATTTTATGTGAATAAAAACTTACTTCTGTTGCAGTTTTCCAGAAGAAATGTTGTTTTGGAACATTTCTTCCTGTTCTGGAACATTATAAATTTGATTTAAGTATAAAAAAGCTATCCAAAATGTTTGGTAAATTTGTTGGCATTTGTTTGAAATGTATGGCTAGATATGGACAGATTTTAGCCTGTTTGAAGAATGAATAATTTCAATGCGTCTTTGACATCATTAGGCTGTACCTTCTTAAACATTTTCCTCTTCTCAAATCTTTTTCCAAAAGCAGAAATTATAGGGTTTTGATTTTTCCATGTGATATGCACTGTAGATTTGAATCCCGTATTTTAAAATTTATTTGGCTACATTTTTTCTGTGTTTTGGAACAGTATTCATTTTATTTTCAGTGCAGAATGCTCTGCTTTTTTAGATGTTTGTATGGATGAATTTTTGACACAGGCAAGTTTCAGTAATGCATGGTGCAGATAGATGAGCCAAACAATATGTGAAATTTTGCCTCATTAGAAAAGATGAAAAAGGAAGAAAATTTCATTGCTTCTGTATCTAATCCGATGTCCAATAAGATTGCATTCATTTCCTCAAGGTATGTCTGGTTGCAAATTACGAATTCGATAATCGTTATGAAAAATGGGTACTTGTGTAATTAGCACAATCAACTTTTTTCACAAATACAACCAGCAGTTTGGGTGATATTTTACAGAAGAAAAAAAAATATATTCCCTTAAGAATTTAACAAAATTATTTATTACACACATAATATTTTATTTCAAGTATCTGGCAATAACTAATGTAACCTACTTACTGACAAGCTTTTATTAGTTTTGTTCAGGTTGAAATTTCATAGTGATCAATTTTAAAAATATATTCAAAGCAGTTGCAGTTATTCTGTTCTTGTAGAAATTTCATTACAATGTCTTCCATTGAAAACAAGTTCTACAAGCATACGTTTTATATTGTCTGTACAGTACATACATGTGCTGCCCATTTCCCTTAGTGATAGGCGAGCCAGCTGCCATTGCCTTCATTGGCATATAGATAAGACAAAAAATATTACAATTTGTCGATAAAAACCATTAGAATAAAACAAATATGAAAATGGTGACAGTTGTTAATATTGGAGAATTGTTAAGAGCATGATTGCCACAGTTAAGCATATTCGGAAATTTTGGTGACTTTTACCCAAAATTTAAGCATTAAGCTGCAATTATGATGGTTGTATTTATATGTAACCACTGTTTAGAATATAATAAGCATTTAGGTTAGTTTTTGGTATTACATTACACACATGCAAATACCAAAAAATATCTCAGAGAATGCAAAACCCTCCATTCAGAAGACAGAGCCTGGAAAGCATATACACTTCACCAAAATAAATTAATAAGGATAAAAAAAGTCCATTCCTTTACAGACAAATAACCTGTGCAGCCGATGCTCATTAGGTCTATTCTCTACTTCCTCTTTCCTTTGAAAGCAAGTATTTTAAAATTTCCATCATGGAATGAGCCTCAAATGGAACTCAATCAGAGGACTTGGATGAGATCAGACAGCTCAAGCATAGGAAAAGGTGGAGGTAAAAGAAAGTGACATAAAATTGTTTTGCTCTATTCTCACATGGATGTATCCTAACTCTCAAACATGGATGATTTTGAGAATTATTAGTTTTTTCACTTACAAAAATTCTAGAAAAATATAAAAAACACACAAAACATTTTGGTAAAATATATCCATAAAATTCATTATATTTAATTTTCACTCCTCTGGATTGTCACTATAATCATATAAAATAACATTAAGTGCATAGAAATTGGCAAGATCAAAAAGTTAATTCAGTTATCTTGGGGGTTTGTTATAAGCCATGTTTACTGAACTAAGATTTTACTATAATAGGTTAACTACATCTTCCCTAATAAAACTCTATGCTGAGAAATATTTTTGATGGAAACTTGTCAAAGATGAAGCTTATAGTACCAAATTTGCAATTTTCATTGTACAGAGAATAGCTATTTAAAGAACCAATCAAATCCAGATAAAATTGATCATGGTGTTTGCAGTGCCATTGGTTTATTTTATGAACAGTATCTGAACCAGAATGGCAGTTAGTTTGAACATTTGCAGTAATTTATAACTATTTAGTTGTTGCAAATGAAATGCCCACTTTTAAAAGCAGTTGAAAAAGAAAAGAATAAGCAGAGAAATGATGCATGTTTGATTAAATTCATCTGCAGCAGCATCAATGCATTATTACCTAGATATGGCAAGGTCATTTATATTTTGTAGAAATCAGTGCTTGTGAAAGTGATGAAGTTTTGCACTGCATGGCATATTGATGATTTCTTAGCAAAGTATTTGATGACCGAGAAATGGCTGAAATGCTAGAAAAGATGGTAACTTGACCGGGGAAATATCATGAGAATATGGAAAATGAAGTGCAATTTCATATTTGAAATTGTTGGTTGCTGATTTGATGTATGATTAACACTGCTGTAAATGGGCATCATGCAAAAGCAACAGAACTATATACACAAGTGCTGATTGCTCAAGACACTATTTATCATATAAAATTTTATCTAAAAAAGTATTATAGTGACTACAGCATGGTAAAAAATTTATCCAATATTTAGAGTCAGTTATGTAGAATAACTGTTCAGAACAAAATAAATGGTATGTACTAGATGGTATAAAACTAAAGTGGTTATGAAGCTAGTAATATAAGCAAACGAAGCTAAAATTATGTTGTTTCGTACATTGCCAGCTACTTTTAGGCGAAGCATTCTATAGAATGCTGGATTTCAAACTTTGCTGCTAGCATGTATATTTGTGTGTATGCATGTTTTGAGTAATAAGGCCAGTGTTACTGTAATATTATGTAGTAGAATTCTGATGATCTCTGAGCACTTATCCACAAATGCCGTAATCCATGCTAAATGGTAACAATTTCACTTTTCAAAAAATTCTGCGCATGACAAATTTAATAATTTTTTTCCTTATGTAGAAATGAAGATAATTTTTTTAACAACTATGCATTATGTTATTGTATTTATAGCATAAGTTGATTGAAAAAGAAAATTTATTTCATTCTTGAAGTTAGTAATTCTACACACCTATTATTTTGTGAATGCTTTCTTTAACCCTTTGACGCACAGTGGTCACGCCCTGAAACCAGCAAACTTCGAATTTTTTTCTCCTCTTCCTACTGAAATTTTTGAGTAAAAATTAATTGATTACTGATCTTTTACCTCTAAATGACAAAAAATGACTGCAGATTCATACATGTTTTAGGCCTTAGTACTTCAAATCGGATGCCTTTTAAAATTTGTTTTCAATGAGACAAAATAACTTTCTTTTATTAATATAAACAACTTTAAATTTCAAAAGTTATTCATCGCACATCATGATTTCTATCATCACAATAAAAAATAGCAATAATTAAACTGCATATATATAAAAAAAAAAAAAAAAACTGTATGTGTATGGCATTTGCTTTGTGGTTTCAGGGCGCAACCACTGCACCACTAGGGCATTGTGTCACAATGGCGTTTGCTTGCTTCTCAAATAGGAATGTTTATTTTTACCCAGATATAGATAAGGGGTTTTGAAATGACAGAGTTATTTTATTACTAAAACAATACATGCACCTGCCCAGTAAAAAGCTCTTTTCCAGAGACTTCTCTCTGACCTCAACGCACTTGCTCCCCAAGCTAGTGTTGTGATTTTATAAATTATTTCATGTGGTTTAAATTTAATGTAAATATACTTTGCTATAATTAAAACTAGAAATTGCATAAAGTTTTATTTAAATTAAAAATATTTTCTGAATATTTTGGGACGAAGTACGAATAAAATAAGTATGAATGCAAAACGAATGATCCGTACCAAAGCCAAAAAGACCAAGCCTACCCCCATTAACATTAAAAAAAAACACAAATTTCATGTGCCAGATGAAAAGAAACTAAATAACGCTGGACATGTATACCAGTAAAATTTAGATCCAGGCAATGTACATTTTGTTGCAGAAGAAAGAAATCTCATAGAAGAAGATACATGTGCGAAACGTGCAACCTGGGTCTATGCATGTACCAAGAAGAATAAACATGCTTTGAAGAGTGTCACAAAAAATATTTGCTCTTTAAAATTAAAAAAAAAAAAAAAAAAAAACCTCTTTTTTTTTTTATCCTTATTTTACTGAGTTTTTTTAATCCATTTAGCCAAACTTCCTTATTATGTAGATATTTATATTTTCACTGCTATAGAAAAATTATATAAATGTTTATTTTTTAATTTTTCCTGACGATTTACTTTGTAAAATAATGTAAAAAAATTATATATTATGAAATTCCTACATGCATTTTTTTAAAATTCGTAAATTTCGTCATTTATTGGAAACTCGCATGGAGGAAGCTAAGTTTTTTTTCCCTACTACCTAGGTAAGTTTAAAAGTCCTGGTCGCACGGTGGTTTCACAGTGTGACCACCACTCGCAGAACAATGGGCAAGAGTAGATTTTTTTTAATTCATATATTATTTGTCTCTAGGATCATAATATTCAATTTCTAGTTTTTAGTTAAAAAATTATAAAAATAATATTGTGCGCGTCAAAGGGTTAATAGTAAACATGGATCGCAAATATTTTGCTTTTGATAAACCTGTACTTTTGGATGCCTATTCCTTTGTCTCTAAATTTATACAGTTAATTATTTTAAAATTATGCTACATGTGCCAAGAATTCATTTGTCCACTGCTTTTCATTATGTTTCATTTAGACTTAGCTGTACCTTGTGGCTAGTTTATTTACATAAATTCAAAATTAAATTCTTTATAGTGTTCAGTTGCTCATGTACAGAACATAATGGCAGAATTAGCATAGGAATTCAATTCTTGGAAATACTTACTTCTGTAGTTTCTTTAAACAGTGTATTTATTTATCTAGTCTCTTGTTTGAAAGCATAAACTTTTATTTTGAAATTAGTTTATATAAGAAGTTAAGATCTAGTGGTTTTTTTTTTTTTTTTTCTTTCTTTCTTTCTTTTCTTTTCTCCAAAAAACTTTTCTTTGCTAATCAAAAAGTCCCTATTTTATATCTCTGCTATGCTTTCCCCTTGAACTATATTTTTGTATGCAAACATGTTTAAATAATTTACTAATTCAGTCACTAATTTACTTAATAACTTAATTAATTAATTATTAAGGATTATTATCTTTTAGTTAATTATTTATATGCAAACAATGCAGATTTGATCTATATATTAGAAATGGGAAATGTAAACAAAACTTGGAAAGTTATGATTTGTCATTAACAAAATTCACTAATTCACGCAACCCTTCATCCCATGGTGTCTTGCTTATCAGAATTCTACCGCATTTAATATTTTTAGCCCAGAAGGGTTATTGGTCTCAAACCACGATTTTGCATCGAATCACCATAAATGCACCATTTTACTTTTCATTCAAGTCTCTTGCCATTCAGCAAAATATAAGATATCAAAGCTATTAATTTCATTTTGTCATTTTGTTGTGTTTCACTTTTCAAATTGTTGCTGTCAAATATTATCGCCCTGTATTATATTTAAAGAAATTAAATAATGAAGAATCTGCATAAATGTATGTATGTATGTTTCTCATATTGTGATAAAATAACTATACCTAAAACCATCAAATTTTGAATAACGTAATCCTCCACCGAATATGGGCATCTGGAAGCCCAAATTTGGGATTTGATTTGTTATCTATTTCATATTTTGTAAAGCATTTATGAGTTTTTGATTAAGAAACCCGACGATTTCAAAGTGAGCAATGCCAACACTATATGGAGCAGGGAAGAATTTTTTTATCTCCAACGTGCAAGACTGTGTATCGGAAATTCTAAAAATAATGCTCTTTTTAAATCATTTTGAGATATTGCTATTGAATTGAATTTTATGGTTTAAGTGTGAAGAACATGATGTTTAATAAATAAACATAACACAGAAATGTTTAAAATCTAAAAACAGCTTTAATTTTTTTGTTGTTATTTTGCTGTTTAATTGTATGTGGCATAAGTCAGAAAATAGTGCTGAATCGTAAAACTAAATGGACCAAAAAAAAAAAATATATATATGGATTACAGGAGTGAGTGCAATGGCATACTTGGTAGACTGCGAGCTCAGCGAGAGCATAACAGAACCTTAACAAATCCTTTTGGACAACTGTTAAAACTTAAACCTTCTTTCTCCACTCCCCCCCGTCTTAAAATGTTATTTACTTCTTCCAATTTATTTTCTCGTGATTGATAGTTTTATCTTACTTTCAGTTATAATGAACATTTTGGAATTGATGTAACACTAGAGAAAGGTTGTATCACTTATCCATATTCTCATTCACCAGCTGGGTTGTATATAGGGAAAAATTTATCATCAGGTAAGTGTACTATGGATATTGTTTGTTCTTCAAAAATTATAAATATAATGGTTTATAGTACATTTGCTGGATTTCTAGTTTATTTCAAGAAACAAATCATTATAATCTGGTATATTACCATTTTTCAGATCAGACCGATTTTACATGTTATTATTTTGAATATATTTTCCAGTGATAGCTCTCATAAGAGTAATTAGATAAGAAAATTCAGTACTTCCTTATTATAGTGGCCTTTGACCTTACGCAACTATCATTTTACAAAACTTGTGAACCTCGAATGTAAAAAAGTGACACAATATATAACAATAACAATAATACTTGGATGTTGTTATCTGAGAATATTTTTAAAAATCATTAAGGTGACTTTAACCAGCTTCTTCATGTTACTCTGTTTTATATATTCCCTCTAGCAATCTGACTAGATCGCTGATTGATCTTGCACATGTTGAATAATTTTCTCCATTAGTATACTAGCATCTGTATTAGAAATTTGAATGACAAAGTGCTCTCTTTTTCTGTCATATTTCTCCAAAACTGAACTGTTGTGAAAGGACTCTGCTGTTTATGTTTTTATGTCGGATGAAAAAACTGTGATCGATTTCAACTATTTTATTGGACTGCCCAATGAATCTTTGCATCAGACGTAGGGAACACATTTCCTGCGTGTAATTGTTCTAATCCATTGCAGCATTTTCCCACACATTAAGCTGCTTGTCCATTTGATGGATGTCAGCTCCTCTATCCAAGAATACTTAAATCCAATAACAGTGACCAATGGTATTCTGGAACATTAAACCAATTTCCAACATGGAGGCCCTTCTTCTTTTTACGATTATTAACATTGCACTTCCAAATGGTTTCGTCATTAACTGCTGTTTGTGGATATTTTTGTGTGCTTATTTGTCATATAAAAGACCTCTTCTTAAAAAGATTATATTAATAATCTTATATGTACAAAATGGCGAGGAGTATTTTAAAAAAAACTATTGTGAATTCAAAAAACTCAGCAGAGATGAAATGCAATGTTGATAAAAAAACGCATTACAAGCTATCTCTGTTTATTAGCTATTCAATTTCAGGGCCGTTGTAATACGAAAATACTGAAAATTCCATAGTTTGTCACAAAATTAGCTCGTTTGCATTATTACTCTAATGCTAGCGCTCTTTTTTTTTCCCCCCGTTCATTTTGTTTTCATTTATTTATTATTTTTTTAAATCATATAATATAATGTGCTTTTATTAAATTAGCTTGAAACTATATTACAGTCTTAATCAGAAGAGTAATGTTTAGCATGCTTAAATTACTGACAGCATCATATATTTTTAATGCAACTTTTATATTTTATCAAACTTTTAATTAATTGATAATAGAAATATAGTACTCATGAATTATATATGCTAAAAGTAAATTTTAACCAACACAGCTGAAAAGTTTGATAAATCTCGTCATTAATTGTGTATCTATTAGAATTCTGCATCTCCTCTGATTGCTTTACCTTGATAAAAGAAATTTATTTTATATTTGCTATTTGTATATGGATTTAAATAATGAAGTAAAATAGTTGTTTAAAAATTGTATAATATACATACATTTATGTGTTTGGAATATTTTCAGCATTTAAATTGCATTTTAAAAAAGTGCCATCCATTATGTGGCAGTATTACATTTCATCCGATGGAGCTCATTTTGAATATCCAGCATTTCGGCTTGGTTTTAATGAAAATTGTGATCACAAGACTAATCGACACAGGTGAGAAATATTTCATTTTAATTCCTTGTTGTGTATATCAAAACCACATTGATAAGTTATTTATTAATCCTTTATAATCAAATGAGATAGACAATTTCGTATTTATTGTCAATAAAGTTATGTGAGATGAATGTGACACATAAAAATATAAGAAAATTTTTAATCATTTCTTGTATTGCTTTTGCAATTGTTTTTGAATTAAAATGGAATTTAACATAAGATAATTTGGTGTTTCGATTGAGTGATGAATTTGTCTATGTGTATGAATAGAACTTGGTTCCCAATTTTTTAAAAAACTATTGGCCAAATTTTTTTTTTTTTTTTTTTTTTGTTCAAAATGTCAGAAAAGTTAGAAAGTACTGATCAGTGCTGTCAATAATAAAAGTTCATTATTTAAATAGTGCATGGTAAATAAAAATTATTTCTGCTGTAATGAAAATAAATAAAGACTAACTCTAAGCTTTACTTTTTGCACAAAGTACTTTACCCACCTCATATCTGATATGATTTTATCAATCGGATTATCATAGCTTACTCTGAACCTGCTGTAGTTTTTTACTCTATAATAGACACCTTAGTATAGAACTAAGGTCTACAATTCAAGGACATGACCATAGTAACGACTACTATGGAGTGTGACTGTGTACTCCAATTTGCTAAATTTCCTGTAATGTGTAATGTGCTGTGATGATGACACATTATGGTTGTAAATGGGGTGGGCAGTGTCCATTTTAAAATAAGGGTGTCTCAGAGTGCCTATTTTAAAGTAACAGAGTATAGTGAGTTGTTCTTTATCCTTCTCTAAAGAAATGAAACAGTTCTATTGCCCATTTATTCAGAAGAGTAATTGCCCTTCAAAAATAAATGATGGAGTCTGATCTGTTAAAAGAAGTCATTATACCATGTGATTGTGTATTTAATGAGTAACTGTGAATTATACACATTTTTTAACACAGTATAACGCTAAGCACTTCATTTGAGTTTTGAAACACCAAAAGATGGATATTTTAACACAGTATAACTCTAAGCACTTCAATTTAATTTTGATACACCAAAAGTTTGATATCTGTTATGTGTGATATACTGTTATAAATTCTTTTTGCAGGATGAGTTTTTAAGACCTTTTTAATACTTTACTTGTGTATTCCCTATATTCCTTCATTTGCTTCATACTGATAAATAAGGTAAATTGAATTTTTATGCTGTTCGTAGTCATTGCATTTGTATTTTTGTAACAAAACATATAAAATTATTCAGTTACTTATACTTTGATAACTTGTCATTATATTTGGTCAAGGAAGTTGTTAAGAAAATTAAGTAAATTAAAATTTGAACGTCACTGGAACGGGTTAACTTATTTTAGGGCCCTAAATTTTTTTTACTGCCTGGGCCCTACAACAGGGTGTTATGTAACTTTTCTGATAACTTTCTAACAAAATAAAAAATGGCAGGTATATAATAATAATTATCAAAAACAGCCAGTTTTCCAAAAATCTTTAATATTGTTACAAAATGCACAGCTGTGGTAAGATAACTTTCCCGCAAAGCGAGTTTAGGGTTGCTATAAAATGGCAAGGGAAGGCAGGGTTGGCATATTTGGCGACAAAACTGGTGATATGCTGTGGACGGATGGAGAACATTCTGCGATGAATTCTTACCAGTTTGGCCCAGAATATTCTCGAAAGCAGCACAGAAGCTATATAAACCCGGCTTGTCTGCGGACTAGGAGCCAATTGCGAATCTATCGAGTGTCTCGTAGTCTATTGAGTTGATCGTCAGTTTAATGTTCAGTTGGCCGTTGAGTGCATCAAGAGAGCCTCTTAATTTATCGCGAGCCATGGTGGAGGAAATGAAGTTCATGGCAATCTTAGCAGCTGGAAGAGAGTAAAGCTGGATATGAAGAGATAAAGGCTGAGATAAAATCCGAGTATGATGAGATAAAAGCTGGATATGAAGAGATGAAGGCCAGGCCGGAAGAGATGAAAGTCAGCCAAGAAAAGTTGCGAGAACAACTCCAGCAGATGAAAGTGGAGCTTGCAGAAGGAACTGGAGCCATAAGAGAAGATGTGAAAATAATAGAAGTGGCGTCTGAAGAATCAAAGGTGAAGAGATGAAGGAAGTAGCCAGTGAAGTGAAAGATAAAGAAATGATGGATGAAACATTTAACAGAATTAAAGAAAAAGAACAAAAACATGAAGAAATAAAAGTCAAGAAAGAAACTTTTGATTCTCAAATGTCTCAAGTAGAAGTAGAAGAAGTGAAAATGCAACTGTTAAGTTCGTAGAAACTGATAGTGGAGTTACAAAGACACTGTCAGCAAGTTATGAACCATCTGAAACTGCATGTGATGCAGAGATGGGAGAAGCTGAGGTACAGCTTAAGCAGTGTTTTTCCAGTATTGCAAGAAAATACAACCACTTCATGAACAGATGTGTGCCTCATAGTGCTGGTTGTGCACATACAGACTTCATTCTAAACCAGGATACTTCTGCTTATAAAGAATTTGATTCTATTTATAACTCTGCAAACATTGGAACTGGTTCTCATGAAATTGAGGTAAATAAGCATGTGCCAACTGTTAAAAGTATCGAGTTGAACTGTACAAATGATGCGAATAAACTACAGAGAGGTCAACAAACTGTTTCAAATCTTCCTGTGGAGGAAAAGTCTGAAAGGACTGAATCCTCAGACTGTGATATGTAGAACAGAAGTACATCTGAGAACTGCAGTGAAAGAGTATTTGACCCGAGTATAGCTTGATGAAAAGCTTGAGACTGAAAATTCATTCTGAACTTTATATAATTGCTATGTTTAATGATTTTACTAGACTTCTGCAAACCATGCAGTACATACCAAATGTCACGTGTCATGCCCCACCTACAGATCAGCTAGTCAGCAAAACGTTGTTCATGTACAGTGGGCCATTTATATCAGTATATCTTAATAAAATAGGAAACCTTTAGATTTAGATTAAATTTAGTATATGGATAAACTTTTATTTGTTTTGTGAAATAAAAGAAAACTGTTATATTTACTCTTTTTTTTTTTTTTTTCAAAAGTGAACAGTTTGGTCAGGTCCCGCCAAAACTAGGTCCTAGACATTTGTCTATTCTATGATCCCGTCCTTGAACCTCAGTAATAACCTTGTAATCCCTCCCCCCCCCCAAAAAAGTGTGTTTTGCACTTTTGATTTTTAGTTTGTGAAAAATTTTATTTTCACCTGCAGGAATAATTAAAATACAAGTTTTCAGTTTTCTGATTTATATGATAATTATTATGATTGTTTAATATTAGGCATGGATTACACTATAGCAGAACTCATTTAATGATTGAGAAAACCAGATATATATATAATTATCAAATTATATTTTTAGGCAAATTTATCAAGATACTGTGAAATCGAAGACAAAGCATGTGATTATTGTGATTGATCAGGGTAATTCTCTTAGTCTGTTTCAATTTGGAAGTGCCAAAATTATAGGCAAACATATACTGTCACTGCTGTCTTCCCATGATAAAGTAAGTGAACTTCAGGTTTTTGATTCATACTTATGTCTACATGATAAAAAGTGGATTTAAGTGAAAATGAATTTTTCTTGTCCATTAAATTGTTGATTAAAAACAAATTTAACAATTAATTAAAAATCTTCCATATTTTATTTATATAAAATTGGTTTAGGAAGAAATCTCTGTTTTTTGTTTTATATTATTGCAGCTTCAATGTACTGTTTTAATTTATCCTAATGATTTATGACGTCTCTTTAAATTGCACTTTATTCGCATGTGGTAGTTGTTTATTTAAGTAGAGAAGTTTTATTTGCGCTAAAGCGTTGGGTATTTCAGTTTGCAGTTCAGTTTTTAGAAAATAATTAGATCTTGTTAGACGAAAGAATTCACGTCTAAATGTGAATTCTTTCTGTTTTTACCGTTTCAATGTCGAAGCGTCGAAAATGTTTAACAGAGCATGAAATAGCAGAAATGATGCAAAATATTTCAGATATTGATTCTGAAATTCTGATATTCTGATATTGATTCTGAAAGATTAAACTGAAAGACATTTTCCAAAACTGTTCAGAAGAGACTGATAAGAAAAATGAGACGACGGTGCTTCGTTTGTTCACATTCCCGGAAAAATCCTCCAAAACGGCAAATGAGTTATTACGAGTTCAAGGAATGTAACGTAGGACTGTGTGTAGATCCCTGTTTTCAAATTTTTCATACGAAAAGAGAATTTTAAGTAATATATTAGTTTTCAGATGTATAATGTTAAAAGTCATAAAATGGTGAGTAATGAAAATAGAATGTGTAAAATATGCATTTAAACAAGAAATAATGTAATTAAAGTATATAGTATAAAAATATGTATAAAGTATAAGCCGTTTAAATACTCTATAGAGCATTATTAAACAATGTGTTAATACTTCGGCAATTTCATGGATTTAGGCTTAGTAGCAAAAAAGCCCCCGTCCCTGGACAGACGCTCGCGTAAGACACTGCCGGCCTCCGCGATAAGCGCGCGTTTGCACTACCCGGCTCAAAGGGGTTAATATTTATTTGTTTACTTTGTTAAACATTTCTTTCAATGTAAGTTGTTTGCTTCTTTTTTTTTTTTTTTTTTCCTAATACTTTCTCTTTAATTCTATAAACAGACATGATTTCTTGTTCAGTTACAAAGTTCCACTGTTCAAGTCCTGTAATTGCTGTATCGAGAATACCGACTAACTTGTCAATTGAAATTTTTTCGTTTTCAATAACCTCTCTGTCACTTTCTTCACTATCAGAAGCGGTATTTTCTGGATTTAGAACCATACTACAGATTTTGCCATCTGTTAATTGACTGATGATTATTGGGGCATTGTTGTCGCAATAAAAAACTTCTGTTATATCATCTTCATTTATTACCGCTTCTCCCCATTTCTTTACAAATTCCAGTAACTGGAAAATTTCATCATTTAGTTTGCGATGTCCGAAAAATCTTCAAATTCACGGCTAGTTAAGGTCATCGTCCTCACTATAAAATATGGTAGCTGGCCATGAATTATACCAAGCATTTTTTAACGTATCTGGAGACACATCCTCCCAACATGTGTACGTAAACGTGCATTAACACGCATGCATAAAGCATACAAAAAAAAAGTTTGTGGCTTTGAGGTCCGGATTATAGATCATTCCGGATAATGGAATCCGGATTACAGACTTTGTACTATGCAAACAAATTAAGTGGCCACAAGTTTCAAATTGCATAATATGCACAATAAATAAATAAAATAAGTAAAAACAATTCATGCCATTCCAAAGATATAACAACTGTGAATTAATATAACAGATATTTTCAAAAATTTAAATCGTCATTCTCTTTAAATGCTATTTATGCTTACAGGCCTCTATTTCCCCCCTCTGTTCTTATTTAGATTACAAGTCTGTTCCTCAAACATGTAATCTAAATAGAAACAAATGGATAATTTAATGTAAGTTTAAGCCATAAAAATGCTCATTACTGCAGTGCAAGAAAGGACTCCATCCCATTGTAGATTAGAAAATATGTAGCTGTGTATTTCCCTCATTGATCTTTAACAGCAAAGTTGTGTTAATATATTTTGATGTAATATTAATCCTGTTTCGCTGCTTATCATTGGAATACATTTCTAACAAATAACTAGGATTTCCGTAATTGCTGTTAAATTTAACACTTCTCCCCCCCCCGCTTTTTTTTTAACTTGTATTAGATTCTGAAATTAATTTCCTATGAGCTCTCTTAAAGAATTGTAATATTGATTGTCAGTCTTAAGCATAGATATGAATAAGATGGCATAAATTATCTTCAACATTCAATGTTTAATGTGACTTCATTAAAATACTTATTTTATTGTAGGTTATCATATTTGGTTTAGCATCAGATATTCAGTATGCACAAGGAAATAGTTGTTCAGCACACAATCTCTTGTATGCTACCACTGAAACAAAACTGGAACTTTCAAGATTTTTTGATAACTTGACTAGAAAACCTAGTAAGTAAATTTTTATTTTAAAATTTATTTTAAATTTGCATTTTTTCATCACTATGAAAAGCTTAACAATCTTTTTTTTTTTTAATCCAGATTCTACAGATCATATCCTTGGCTTTCGAAATATTTATGAAATTATTCGTAAAATTGATAATAATAATCATTCTATGCAAAGTAAGTGTTTAGTCTTTAAAAAAAATTCGTGTAATCAGTGTTGCTTTATTTGATTCCTAATTTAAGTGCTTAAGATGCTAATTTTCAGATAGCAACAGCTAATTAAAAATATTTTTTGCTTTGAGTAATTAATGTGCTGAGCTTATATGGTGCCTAACTGTACTAACGCCTTGCTAAAAACGCTGGAACCTGTATTATCATACTATGTCTTCACAAGTCCTGTATTTTCATAACTGAGAGTTGTAGGCTATATTTCCAACTGCAAAAATGTTTTAAATGATGCAAGAATTTTTAAATTTAAAAATCAGTTTTATAAAAATTATGAAATCTAACTTTTTATACAGGTTTTCTAGTCCCTATAGTTACATTTAAGAAAAGTTTTTACTCATTATAAAAAATAAAATACAAAAAGTTTGACTCCCACCTGACAAATCTTAACTAAGTTACATAAAGTTCAAAATTATATTCAGGGATCGTATGCAAATTGAAGCATAAAAAATGTTTGTATTTTTATGCAACTAAAAATGAAATATCAGTTTAGAAAAATATCTCTGATGTTCGTAGGTAAGAAATGGGTATTTCTATGCAAATTGTCATGAAAAATATTTATCGGTATAACTTTTTTTTTTTTTTTTTGAAAAAGATCTTATTCACAGAACTGTATAAAATTCATAATGTAGAAAATAATGGTAGACCTCAGTATAGGCATTTAGCCATCTCATAACATTATTTGCATTAATTAAAGGGGAAAAATATTTCTAGTGTAATGAAATTTTTTGTATGATTATTAAATTATGATTCTGTAGTAATGAAGCATAATGAGAATATGTGTAACATGTATTTAGCATTTGAAAACAAAATATAAAGTTTTTGAGGTTGAGGCACTAAAACCACATTTAAAAATGTAACATTTAATTTTTTTTAACTTCATTTTAAAAATGTATGGCATTTAATTCCTCAATTATAAGTGTAGATTACTGTGGGCAAGTTCTTATGTCATAACTAATTTTTAAAATATTATACACTTGTAAATCACAGGAGAATATTATTATGTGACATTTAAAGTGGGAAAAATCAGTCTTGAGTTATTCTAATTTATTTTTAACCAATCCCTCAATAAAAAAGGGGGGGCCAATAATGACAGTAAAAAGTTCCAAGTTTTGAAATTGAGCATCTCGGTCACTTTTTATTGTATAATGGTCAAACTTCCTCTCCCCCGCCCGTCTTTTAAATAATGAGGATAAACTTTCTAAAAGTAACTATTGGGACTGGGGAAACATATAGAAATCTTAGATTTTGTAATGTTTCAAAATGACTCTATAAATTTTAAATTGCTATGTCATGAACATTTTCCTTATTTAAAGCATTATTATAATTCAAAGTATAGATCTGTGACTAATGGTTGTAAAAATAAATGCTGCATAAAGACTTTTATGACTTTACATTGTGCCTAATACCGCATTACAGCATGAGGGACCCAAATGAAACATGTTTATCTAGATTACTTTTATTCTGACTTCTCCATTTACATTACATATAAGGCTTGCCTTCTTGCTTGATATATCAAAAGATTTCATTTGATGTGTGTATATAATATGATCTTTTATTGCATAGTATGCAGTCAAAACTCATTAGATGTTGTTTACTCTCACCTGTTGTTTAGGGCCAAGTAGATATAGCCTTATTATGTGGACCAATTTAATCAATATGACAGTACAAATATAGTATTAATACTGTGAAAATGCCTTATTGTCAAAATGAGCAGCAGAAAGGAGTCTTTTGAAATGGAGCACGGTAACCTTATAAATTTAACAATATGGCCATGGACGAAATTGTATAACTGAATGCACATCAGTCAATTTTAAGCAATGTTATTTGTGAAGTTGTATTAAGATGAAAAAACTAAATTCACTTATTTGCCTAATAGGTGCAAAAAACAGAGGCAAATGCGGAAGTTCAGCTTCTACCGTTAAGAAAATTACTGGGTATCATTTGTATCTATTGTAAATGATTTCCATGTCTAGCTAAGCATAGGGATCAGTAACAGAAATGCAATTGCCTTTGCTTTCAGGGTTGTGGTGCTGTTATTGGTTGCATATTTTACGTTAGTTTCAAGTACCATTATTGTATTCTGGTTCAATACAGGATTGCTTGATGGCACAAGTCACAGTATAGATGTTTAGACAGGGCATATTTCTAATTAACTATATTTGCCAGAATGCAGTATATTAAAAGTATAATTTGGAGATGATAGCTTAATCATACTGATGTGCTTTATTTAGTTTGAAAATTTTTCCTTAACCCCTTAAGGACCAGTGCAGGGAGAATGAAGCGCAATCATGGGACCAGACCTGCTGAAATGAATCATTGCCACCGGCCCACACATTTTCAGCAGTTAAGCCTAATTGTACAAAACAAAAATCGTATAAAATCAGCATTTTGATATTATGACTTCAGTTTTTGAAGTCGTGTATTTAATGTGTATTAATATAAAGAATATCACATTAATAGAAATAAATTAAACAGGCAAAATACTAAAATCATAACTATACACACAGAAATAAATACTATAAACATGAAAAACAATTACAAATACAAAATTAAAAAAAAAAAAAAAAAAAAAAAACTAAACAAGAAAGAATTATCTGTAGGTAATTAAATTCCAATTTAAAAATTCTGCGTGTGAAATAATTCAAAACAAGGATCGAAACACAGTCCTACATTGCATATTTTGCACTCAAAATATGTTCTTTGCTTTCGCTTTTCCTTGGTTTTAGAGCACACAATGCATCTTCTCCTACCTTTATTACCTTTTCCGTCAACGTAAATTTTCAGAAAGTGTCTTCAGTTAGATGGAAAAATCGAGTGTCAGTGATTTTGGACAAATTTTTAAGTAAGGTTCTTAGCCATGGCCTTCGGAATGAAACTGAATATAACCCCAATACCATGTCCCGAAACTTCTTCAAAAGACACTCAGAAATATTTCATCCTCAAACCCTGTGTGACATCGGGTTTATATTGGAAAACTTCCTGTTTTTCTAAATCGAAAACAGTTTTCATGATGACCGGAAAGTGATTAGGGAAAGACCCCCCCCACACACACACACTGGCAGGATATCCATTACTAATCACGTTAATATATGTATTATATATAATTGCATTATAGTAAAATACATTATATACCAAAATATAATGCCTGTATCATAATATATAATGATCCATTAAATCGAGTAAGGGAAAAAAATGCTAGCTCTTTCCTGAGAAATGAGAGCGAGTAAAACACATTACGCATTGAGAAAGCTGAGTCTTTCTCTTTCTGTAATAATGTTGTAATGTTACTTTTTAATTAACCAAAATAGCTTATGTTAAGTTTAAAAATAAATAAATTTTAAAAAAATCCTAACGAAATAAGCAAAAACACCTGTATGTACCCCTTTAATTCACAGGTGTACTTAAAAAGAGCCGTGATTCCCAGTTTGTTTATTTCAACAAATATGTCAAAACCAGAAGCACAAAACAGAAACTAATGCCAGCACATGAAGGTTGAAATGTCATATGAATCAACTCATATGAAAACAGTTACCACTTATTTCCATCTACTTTCTTTTAAAAATTCAAATAAATCGTTCCATTTTAATGTTACGTATACGTGATGCTGGGTGGTAGGAGAAGAATTGTTGCCTCGCATATACAGGATGCTGAGCTGGTAGGAATGGCATCGTTGCATTGCGTATACGTGACGCTGGTTCTGAACGGGTTAAATCATTTTATCTGTGATGTCTGTTTCCACCAAAATGTTTTGAGTAGTAACATGCTTCTCGCTTTGTATCAGTAATTCATATGGTTCTTTTGGTAGAAGTATCAAATGCTTTTGCGCAACATTGCATTTATTCAGTAGGCAATGTGTTTAGGTTCATAGTATAAGAACAATAAGCTGAAGATCTTAAGTAATCAACACAAACAACAGTATCACTCCATTGAACATTTTTGGAATAAGAACAAGTAAGCTGAAGATCTTAAGTAATCAACACAAACGACAGTATCACTCCATTGAACATCTTTTGGAACGAATTAGAACATCAGTAGTGCATCTGAGGCACCTGTTGTCTTGTGTTTCTGTACTAAAAGGAAACTTGTAGCATTTTACTTAATGAAAAATCTACTCAGAGTTATTAAAGCTAAAGGAGATCTAAACTATGAATAGCACTGTTAAACTTCACCAATGTGTGTTTAGTAACTTTTAGTCATATAGGGTAAATAAAGAATAAATCTCTCAAAATTTTAAAGTATCTTTTGGCTTCTGATTTTGAATTTTCATCGTTTGAACAGCATATTGATATTGTCTATGCCACATATATATTTAATAAGAATTAACTATGCAATAATTTAATTACTTTGTTCAAATATCATTTGTTTTTCTTTTGTTATTATTTAATTTCTAGTCTTCCTTTTTTATTTAATGATTAATCTCTAGTTGAAATTTAAATTGCATATTGAAAAACGCTTTTATTGTCTTTTTCTTAAAGTGTTTGAAATAGTATTTTTATAATTGTATCATATGCTTTTTTCATTAAATACTATTATAATGGTGTATTTTAAATGCATTAAAATCTGTTGTATGAAAGTGACTGAGCTTATTTTGTATTTTTATCTTGAAATAGATGAAATACTTGTAGCTTACATAAGCAGAGGTTTACTTTCATCCTTGATTGATGCAAAGCAAGTTTTGGAAATCATAGCTGATGGGAACCAAATATCAAAAAGTCGTATCATTATAAATACTTATGCATTGATTGATGGTAAGTTCTAATCATTTTATTTCCTCCTTCATTAGGTTTCCTTATTAAACATTTAGAGTAACTGTAACATAATTAATAGAGAATATATAAATGAAAATTATCTCCTATGAAAGGTGAAGTGAAAATTAGATATCGAGTGTTTACTATTGTGGAAATTAATAGTTGAAATTGCAAGTAATTAAACTGAAATTATTAATTAAAATGCAAAACTAAAGAATAAAACAGCAGAATTATCACTGATTTCATAGAAAGATCCTGATTTATCAAGGGGAATCGGATTCTCTCCATACAATATTTCATTTATGTATTGTGTATTAAGTTCAGTTTTATCTCTGCAGCAATAGCATAGGATTTTACTTTTAAGTCTTTTTTAAATACATTTTAAAATTCATTTAAGTTTTTGTTTTTCTATAACATAATTAATGTATATTATGCAAGTATATGTAGTCAAGTATTAGTAAAACTGAAAACTGCTTTTCTGTAGCTCTGTGCTTTTATAACTTTTTAAAGCAAATATTATAATAGCTACCAACTCTTCAGGAGTTTTCATCACATCTCCCCCTGGTAGATCACTAAACCTCCGTTTTTTTTTTTTTTTTTCCCTTTTAATTTTTAGCCTTTACTAAGTAAAATAGTTCCCAGCAATAAATGAAATTTATTGAATGAATGAAACTTAAAGTAGACAAATGCTATTCTCCCTTTTCTAGTGGTTTTCAAAATATTTTTTCTTATTAAATTTCATTTCATCTCAGTTTTAAATTAATATATGAAGCTGGAAACAGTGTTTAATCAGTTTATATTTCCATTTCATGTCATTAAATACATTGTACATTGTCAAATTTATCCACATAAATATCATGTACAAAGATTATTAATTATATTTTCATTGTATTTGAAAGTATTTTGATAAATAAAAACTTTCCTTTGCTATTTGGGATTTTCTCAGTATAAAATTGTAAAAAGTTATAAAATTAGCCAAAAAATCTAAAATGTAAATATCTACTTAAATACTAATATACTTTACATCAAAACTGTATTACAGATAGTTGGATAACATTAATCATGCATTAAAACTGAATTAAAGTCAGTTTTGAAATTTCTTTGAAATGATATCACAACACAGCATGAAACTGTCCTGATTTGTCCCAGTTTTAGATGTTGACAGCTGTGTCTCAAGAAGAGGAATTATGAATTCTTTTGTAAATTTTTGATTTGAATGCTAATTAAAAACACCTTGAAGATAGGATTTTTATTATTACAGTTATATAAAATTATCAGGGTCTTTGGAAATAAAGTTTTTATCCTATCTGCAGATGACAAAAAATTATGTAGGTTCGAAAATCAGCTGTCTTTAGTTATACTTTATATGTGTGTAAAATAAAAAAAAGGTGAAACTCAAAAATTACTAACTTTAATTTGGTTGTGTCCCCTTCCTGGAATTTAAACTATATCACTGGAAAAACTAACCCACTTTGATCTTCTGTAGTGCCGTGAAGCTCTTTTCCAATAGCAATCCAAGTTTTAAACAAAGGATTCAAATCTTTAGATAGCTGTTTGCTGAAATGTGCAGTCACTTTTTTTTTAATTATGATATTTTGCCTAGTGATGATTTGAGGAGAGAAGGCGCCAATCGTTCATGGCCGAAATGCTTTGAGATGTTGCTGTCATACAACTAGGATTCGTAACAGATGGATGAAACTCTGGAAAATCACAAATAGCTTGAGATTCAACCACATAATTTTATTTTCTTGAAGAATAATTTCTTAGGACATATATTCTTGGTTTACATGTCACTGTGGGTGCAACAAGCACCTCACATTTTATATACAACATTGTATGTGTGGAGACAATAGACAGCGCAGTGAAGCAGTGATACATTCGCTAGCAGGCAAAAACAAGCAGAAAAGTGAAAATGCATTTCAGCAGTAGGCTATTTATATGATTTGAATACTTTGCTTAGACTTTGGATACTTGGTGCCATGTTGTGTTGCATTAGAGATCTCTTTTTAAATGGGAAAATTTTAATAATTTAAAATGAAATAGCTTATGGTTTCAAATATTCCTGTTAAAAGTTATGTATATAAAACACACTTTCAATCAAGTGTTTATTTTGATTAGCAACAGCTACTAATTTCTTGCTTATTAAAAAAGTAGTTTTAATATTCATAACATTATACAAAAATACTAAATTTTGACATTACATTGAAAGAATGTCCATGTTAAAGAACTTAGAATTAATTATATAAGAATTGCATTTTGGTCATAGTTATTATAAGAGAACAGAATTTAATTTCATTTATTTTTATTTAGATGAAAGACCTGTAATGTATGAAACGGATTTCATGCAAGATATTGCTGAACAAAATTTTAGAAAATATGGCATTCATGTCAAGAAGAGTAAAAAATCTCAGGTATGTAAATTAGTTTTACCAGCTTTTTGTAACTAATCCACAAATATAATTTTTACTGATATATTAAAATAGAAATATCAACAAGCTGCATTCTGTTTCAAATTTAAGCCCTACCTTGTGCCAGGAAAAAAATCAACTTCTCTCTATCTATCTATTTATCCATCTTTTTTTAATTGGCATTAGATTCTTAAAAAGGAAATATTTAATAGAAAATGTATTTACTTTAAATGTTTTGTTTTTCATTCTTTTTTAGGTCAGTTTTGAAACATTTTGTTTTCCAATTTTTATAATACTATATCAGTATAATTACTTTAGATAGAATATTTTAATGAAAAATAAGTAAATTTTGAAAGTTGGTGTAAAAATTTTGTATTTAGTTATTATAATTGTTTTTTGTAATAATTTAATTTAATAATTGGTAATTATACCTTATAAGAATAATAAATATATCAGTTTTAAATGTTGCATATCCTGATTCATTCCACAATGGTACATTATTTGCTACTAAAGTGCATTTTATTTTTTGTAGCGAGGAATTATGATACCTGTTAATTCAACTAGAGATATTATTTCTACAATTGGTGATATATTTAAAGAATTTCCTGATCATCTCTCATCAAAACCTGTTTTTTCTCTTCCGTATTTTGATTCAGTGAGCAAAGGTAAACTTACTTATTTCCGCACAAAACAGTACAAAAAGTATATCTGCATTTATTTGTGCATGTATATTTTCCTGTTATTAAAATTGGTTAATTCTATTTAACTAAACCTCTTATCTCCTTTGATAAATTCTTCATAATTAATGTTAAAAAGCAAATTATTCCTATTTTTATTATATAATAATAATTTTCTTTTATTTTAAGCAGTGCAATTTTCTGTTTAAATACTTAAGATAAAAAATAATGTTAAATGCTTTCCAGTTCTGCAAAATTCTGGAAACAATGCCCCTAAATATATATTGTGTCTCTTTTTGAAGATATCAATGTGATAGTTTAATTATTACAAATAACAAATGTGTTGTTAAATCTAAATGCTAATTATACTAAAAATCAGAATAATAAAGTGTTGTTTTCACATGGTTTGCATACATCTTTCCTTAATGCAGTCTCAATTCATCAGATGTTAAATGGAGTTAAAATGCAGTGTAAGTAGGGAAAAAACACACTCTTTTAAATTATTGTAGCAAACAATTTAATCAGAACATATTTATCTGTGATGATCCAAATGAAACTATAACCATCTTTGTTTCTTATTATGCATTGCAGTTGCTCTACATTAGACCTTTTTGTCACATGACACCCATCCAAATACAAATGAAATTGTATTGAATTTCTTTGCATAGTAATCCATTTCAGTCTACTTGTGTTGAACCATATCCAACATGATTGATGTGAGTGTATAATGTTGATTTTGAATTCATCATTGTTTAATAGCTATGGCACAAAAAGCAATACCTCTAGTGTAGGGAAAGTAACTCACAAGGAGAGAAATCCAGCAAACTTCAAGCCTGTTCTATACCAGTACTAGTCTGTACATTAAACTTTAATCCTGTTATGTGTATTGCAGCAAAAATTTGATAATCTGTCACGTTCAGAATATTGGTGATATCAAATTAAAATTGTACCCTTGCCATATCCCCCCCCCCAGTTTATTGAGACTAAGGAATAAAAACAAAATGCATGTAGTGATTTTGCAATCATTTAATGGGTAAAACCTATTAACAAATAAATTTATTCATAGTTTTATTAAATTTAGTCAGTCCCCCCCATTTGAAATCATGTTTCATGCACCACAGAAAATATTGCTAAATAAATTTGAATGTCCACTTGCTTCTCAGATTCTGTTTTCTCCCCTGTGAAAACAAATAGCTACCTTTTAATACTTTCATTTCTTAGCAAAATAGCTTAGCTTGGCCTATTAGCATAGTTTATGTTTTAAGCTTGCCTTCAGATCTCTTTCTTCTTTCTTTGCACTGAATTGTACATAATATATTGGGTTTTCATGAAAGTTTCCTACCACTGCAAATATCATCTATGCAAACAGTTTGTGTTGGCATGTTTAATCATGTTATGTCAAACGATTTTTGGCATTTGAAAGAAAGAGACTTGCTTTAGAACCCTGTGTTGCAAAATTTGTAAAAATGTATTGCTATCATTAAGTACAGGGTATCTGAAGTGGAACTATCGTGCTACCAGATAAGAACCAACCATGATTTACTTTCAGTTCTGTTACAGAATGTCACAAAATCATGTGTGCAGTTTTAGGTACTAATGTTGTATCTTATGACACTGTGAAGGTTTGGTACCGAAAGTTCAAAAACTAGGACAATGACATTCAAAAAGCAGGGTGCTCTGGCCGGCCTACTGATGTTTATGAGGCCTTTCTGGGAGAAGTCAGTATGCAACCACTCGAGAGCTTGCTAAGGAGTTAGACATTTGTGCTATGCATTGCATCGCATAAACTTGATATACAATTTCAATCTCTGGGTGCCACATGAGCTGACTCAAGCAGATAAGGACAGATGTGTTTGGGCCTCTAATCTGCTCCAATGTGAACACAAAGACAAAATTCTGGACCAGATCATCACTTGTGATGAATTCAACAACAAAAGGGGTTGACCTGTGCCCGTTGAGCCAGTTGGCTGCATTACAAAGTGCAATGTGACTAACAAAAAAATCATTCTTTGTAGCTGGTGGAATTACTGTGGTATTATTGACAAAGAGTATCTAGAATGACAGTAAGGTGTACAGCAAGATGCTAGTCTGTGTTGATGCTGCTATCAAGGAGAAATGTCGAACTGAGTTCCTGCTCAAAAAGGTAATGTCCCATCAAGACATTTCAAAACCACATGTGTCTGCATTCACTGGCTGTATTCTACAGCCTCAAATGGGATCTTTTGCCACACCCACCATATAGCCCTAACATCACTTCTCCGGACTTTTACCTGTTTTCACATCTGCAGCTACATCTTGCTGGTGCTGTCTTTCATTTTGCACACGACGTCTGAAATGAGGTTAATCCATTTTTGGACATGCAGCCGCCAACTTTCTGGGCCAAAGGCTTTAAGAAACTGCCAAAACTTTAGCAGAAAAATCATAGATTTGGATGATGGTTCATCATAGATTTATTTGTGTGGTACCCAGACTAAAGGTACTGGTTTCATTCCCCCCCCCCAACTTTATTAAGAAAGTTTTTTTGGCAGAAAACTTTTGTTACTACAAGGTACTTTTTCAATTACCGTATTTGCCAGCTTATAAGACGCACTTTTTTCTTTGAAAACAGGTCTGAAAAATGGTGTGTGTCTTATACGTTGATACTCAGTTATTTCATTACATTCATTTCTGGAAATTTCCACTATTCGGAGCTACGTGATTTCTTTCTTGTTTGCTTGTGGAGTGTGGGAGTATTACAGTTACCTAGAAACAGTTGTTAAATCATTTAAGAAGTGTGGCATTAGTAATGCACTAGATGGTGCAGAGGACAATTTGTTGTATGAGGACGCAAATGCTGATTTAGAAGAGGTTTTAAGTGACTCTTCATTTAGCTGAGTGTGTGGGTTTTGACGAAGAAAATTAAAAGATGTTTTTTCCCAGTTAGATTGGGTATTTGCAGAAAGTATTACTTCTATTTAAAATACTGTAAATTCATTATAATGATCAATAATAAAGTTTTATCCTTCAAAAATGTGTATTAAAAAAGGGTTCATCTTGTAGGCCGGTGCATCCTATACGCCGGTAAATACGGTTAATTGACCTTACGTTTGTTAATGTGTTCCGATACTTTCAAAAGAAGCATACTTAGATAGGAAATTTCTGCTTTCTGAAATCATAATGAGGCAGGGTTCGTACGGTCCTTAAGAGTCTTTAAAAGTCCTTAAGTTTTTTGGAATCGATTTTTGGTCCTTAAAAGTCCTTAATTTTAATCATCAGAAATTTCTGTCTGTTTTTACGACTGCCATTTTGAGTGTGAATTAACATTTTAGAGTAATATTTTTGGTGATTTGCTGACAAATATTCATGGATTATAATTTGTTCCTATTTCTAATATTAAATGGTGGGATACTCGAGTTTCTGAACAGGAAGTGAAACATAAGCATTTCAAAATTATTTCATTTTTTCTAATGAAGAGCTCTTAAACACTTTTCGCTTTTCAGGATGTTAATTCTTTTATTAAACCCTTCTAAATTTTTGGCAACTTATCATAATTTTTACGATTTTAAGATCTGTTTCTATAAAAAATTTTTAATTCTGAAATCTAGGATATTTTTTACAGTTTTTTTTAGAACATTGTAATTTCAGCCATTTATTATATGTGGAAAATAAGCAAGGTATAATGCTATAAAGCACCATTTATGAAACAGTTCTTAGCAAAAGCAAACTAGCTATGTAATTAATTTAAAATGTATTTTTAATATTTTCATGGTAAGAGCTTTTCCCATGTAATTGTCTGAGAATATTCAGAATTCTCAAAATATACATTAGTTTCCTCCAGAGCTTAAATTGCGCCGGGGCAGGGCTCGGACGCAATTTAAGCTCTGGAAGAACAATGAAAACATTATAGTTGAATGTTTTACATCTGATTCTAGAATCTTTTCTTAACATTTTAATCTTCCCTTTATTTTCTCTACTTTTCACTAGACACAAGCATAGAAAATATCAAAAATGCTTCTAATCTTATCATATGAACAGGCATTATAGAAAGGAATTCTTTTATTAATAAAGATGTTGAGAATTGAAAATTTAAAAGATTCATCTAATATGTCTTAATGCATCACGCACTAGGCATTTTCCCATCTGATGCAGTCTCTGTGGATCGTAAATTCTGCTGCCTGGTGCCTTTCTAAGTTCTGCTTCCAACGCCTGTTCTAAGTTATAAACATTTTGCCATTTCTAGAATTAATCGCTCAGTGTGTCACTAAATTCTAAAAATGATGCCACATCAGCTCTCTAACCGAAGCTTACCATATATATTTCATATTTCTTCTGAATGTTCATATTACTATAGAAATAAAATTAGCAGCTTTTTCTATGCATTCTAAATGCATTTAGTTTATTTAGAATATCAGAAATCTTTAATTAAATCCAAAAATTCTAAAATGAAGAGAAAACATGGAAGAAGAAACTGAATACCTAACGAAAAACAAATTTATTCCTCAAAGATACGTACAGTTATTATTATGTAGATTACCCAATTGTTTACAATTTCAGCCCTTACTATAATTTCTCTTTTCTATTTTCTCACCAGAATGCAAATCCCGTAGACAGTTTTTAAACCAAGATTTTTGGAGTGTAAGACATGAGTGTGTTTCTGACCTCCACTTGCTCACTGCATTAGATCCTGCCCACTCTGATAATTTGTAATTATTAGTCTTGGATTACCGTTGGCGACATTTGAGGTTGTTATGATGATAGAGAGTTATTGAGCCAGCCTTAAATCAAATAAAATTGTATAGTCTTTGACCACTAATTCATATTTTTAGTTTGAATTTGGCTCTTCTTGTTTCATTACATCACTAGGAGCTTTAATTGATTTTGTTAGCATAAGAACATGCCTTTATTTTTGAAGTTCTTTTTAAATAAGAATCTTATTTAAACCTTTGTCGGACATTGTAGTTACTTTCAGACATAGCGATAATTTGCTTCATATCTGTTGATGTGTTTTG